TACCCCTGGACAAGAAGACGATAACTAGGCACCTGGGAATTGAGACAGCCCAGCCCTGCTGCCTGGGCATCCTCGGTCAGTCGGGGAAGGGTCCCTCTTGGAGTTTTAGCTGCTCCTCAGCACACAGGGATATCAAGGTTGGGTCTTCCTTTACCCTCAAGCCATTGCATCTTCTCACCAGGCACCAGCAGCCCCACATAGGACAGCCCTATGGCCAGCCAGAAGGGCCCGTGGAGAAGACAACACGGCTAAGGCCCTCTGCTTCCTCCTGCCTGCCGACTTCCTCCCTGCAGCCCCTCACACAGGCGCACAGTGAGGATCTGCTTGCGAAGCCGCAGCTCGGTGGGGACAGGGGTGTGAGGTGTGAGAGGGACCCTTCCCTCCTACGTCACCGAGACAGGCAGGCAGAGGAGGTCCAGCGCCAAGGCTCTGCCCAGAGGGTGCTGGCTGGAAGGGGCCCCCTGCAGCAGGGCGCCTGGACAGATGAGGAGCTGGGTGGGCAGAGGTGGTGATGGAGTGGCCTCCACAGAGAATGTGTCCTCCTGGTTGGTCAAGGCAATGACACCCGACCCGCTCTGCGCTGCTAGTGGCCTCTGACACCTTGACAGATTAGAAAGCACCCCCTACCTATGGGAGTGGGAGTACCTGGGTGATAAGGGCTTCTGCCCCTTCACCTGGGTGCCCTTTTTCTGTCCCACGGGCTCCTGGTGACACCTAGTGGCCAGAATTTCCAGTCACACTGTCGGTTCCCGTTCCCCAAACTGGCTTCTGGGGACGTCCCCGGAAGGCAAGGCCACCCCCTGCCACAGGTCTCCTCCCACGGCCCCGTTCTCACGCTCCCCCTCCCTGACGGGCTCTCGGGCACCTGCGCCCACACGCTCACAACTCTCACACCCTGTCGTGGTTCATCCCCCACACACACAGGGACAGAACTGCGTGGGGCCCTGGGGTGTCCTCAGGCCTCTAGACAGAGGGTCTTCTCCAGTGCCCACCAGGCCAACTGCAGCCCTCCAGCCAGCCAGCTCAGGGCCAGGTGGGCCTGCCCCGGGTGCCCCATGACCAGCTAACCACTCTGGAAGGAGGCCTAGGGAGGAGGCGCACTGCCCCAGACCCCTCCCCTCCCAAGCCAAGCCTCCCTGCTGCTAAAAGCAAACCTGGGCCAGAGCCAGGAGACCCAGGTTGAGAACCAGCAAAAGCCCAAGTAGGAAGGAGGTCACCAGCCTCACCAGACCAAGGAGGAGCCAGCTCAAGGCGAGGCCGGCATGGACCAGGGCCCATCTCCCGGCATGGCCAGCCCCAGGAGCTGCACATCCACGTGGGCCAAGAGCAGCCTCCTGCTGAGCCAGGGCCAGGCTGTCTGAGTCAGAGAGAGAGGAGCCCAAGGCACTGGGGGAAAGGCCTGGTAGGCGACAGTGGCCAGATCCCTGCCAACTGAGGCACGGGGCGTCAGGACCGGGACTGCACAGCGTTCCTGGGGGCCTGAAACCCTGGGTCCCGCTGGTCTTCAGGGGCGACTCTTGGGGTGACTGTTGGCTTTTCAGCTTTAGTTGTCACCAGGAGAGGAGGGTGATGGTTACTCGCTCCGTTTCTGAGGTGAAGGCTCTGAGGCCTGGCAGGAGCCCATAGGGGCAGGTACTTCGCCCCCCAGGCTTGGGGAATGAGCCCTGCGTGGGTGCCTCACTGATGTACACACAGCCCAGCCAGCTTAGAAGTGGCTTCATCCACTAGGGCATCTTCTCCCCGTGTGTCCCTACTTAGTCTCTGTCTCTGCATTATGCAGAGATGTCGCAGGAGATGGGCACCCACAGGGCAAGGCAAAGCAGGACAGGACAGGATGGGGCCTTTTCACGGGCTGGGCCAGTAGGCTGAGGAATGGTGAAGTAGAGGCAGCAGCAGCCTTTTCTGCTCCTACCCATGGCCCACGCCTGCTTGCCTGCCATGAACTTTGATCTGGGGTGAACAGCATGGGGAGAAGTAAAAGGAAGCGGCTATTCCTTGCCTCTGCTCAAGCGCCCATGTCCAGTGTCCCCGGGACCTCCCTTAGGAGCTCCACAGGGAGCTGGAGCGGAGGCTTGGATTCCCTTGGGGATCTACCTCCACAGGTAGGCATTAGCGCTCCCCTCTGCAGCCCGGCACCCTCAGCACTCTCGCTCAGCCCCAGCTCCCGTTTGAGTTGGAGCGGCTCTTTCCTGGTGGGCATTTTCAGATGGAGACAGTCCAGAGGCCACCTGCAGGACCTGGAGGAAGTGTCTGATAGGCAGCAGCATCCAGAATCCTTCCAAACGAGGCACAGGACATGTTTCCCCCAATTCCAGTTGGAGAAGGAACAGAAGCTTTGGGCAGGGAGCTGAGATTCCAGATGACTCACAAATCGATCCCCTCCAGCACTGTAACCCAGTCCACCTCCGCCCACAGCTGCTCCAGATCTGCCGCTTAGCAGGCACCCACTTCCTTCCATTTGGGGGAGGGGCACAGAAGCCCTCCAGGGAGGAAGGTGGAATTAACTGAGTCACGTCCTCAACTTTACTATCAATATTTATGGTGCCTTTTGGGGAGTCTCTGAGCCAGGACAGGGATGATACACAGAGGACAGTTCCTGGCTGGAGGAAGGGCTGGTATCAGTGGGGGGAGGGGAGGGCAGATGGGGAACATTTGATGTGTGCTGCCTCCAGGGGCCTAAGGAAGTCTAGGAGGTGGGCTTCCTGGAGGAGGCTGGGTGGAGGGAGACCTGGACTGAGAAAACGCCAACCAAATTTGCAGATGGAATTCCAGGATACCTTCAGGATAATTCCAGGAGGAAACAGAAAGCCCAGCGCACAGGAGGCAATGGGAACCATGGCAGGGATGACTCAGATGGCCCTGCGGGGACCAGGGAGGAAGCAGCTAAAACAAAGTGACTTGAGGGAGAAATGAGAAGAGTAAGGCTCCCCCTTGGGGGGAAGGGGCTTTGCTTCCCTCACTTCACCTACCTCCATCAGAGAATTGAATAGGTCAGGATCCTGCCACTGTGGTTGTGCTTCTCCCATGGGCTCCATTTTCTGTTACTATTACAAAATACCTGAGAGTGGTTGATTGATAAAGAATAGAGGTTTGCTTAGTTCACGGTTCTGGGGGCTAGGAAGTCCATTGCCAAGGTGCCAGCATCTGGGGAGAGATTTCTTGCTGTGCTCCAACATGGCAGAAGGCATTGCACGGTGAGATAGAGCAAGGAGGCAGAGAGCTTGCTGTTATAACAAAGCCACAGCTGGAATAACCCATCAATGCTTAATCCATGGGAAAATTACTTTCATCAGGACAGAGCCCTCATGACCCACTTACTGCCAAAGATCCTATCTCTCAAAGACCACTAAAGTAGGATCCAGGGGACTATTTCCAACACATGAGCTTTTTTGGAGGGCATAGTCAAGCCAGAGCAGGACGCTACAGGCATTGGATGGTAGGGGTTTGGGATCTGAGGGGCATCCCGCCCAGCAGCAATTTGTTCTGCATCCCACATGGGCTCCCAAAATTCCAGTGGCAATTATGTGGGTCAGTGATTTCCAAGTGTGGTCAATTTTTCCCCTCAGGAGACATTTAGCAAAAGCTGGAAATACTTGATTGTCACCACCTGAGGGGTGCTAACGGCACTTAGTAGACAGAGGCCAGAGATACTGCTAGACGTGCCTCAGTGCACAACAGTTATTCAGCCTAACATGTCCACAGTGATGAGGATGAGAAAGGCTGGGTGAGGGAAAACCCTACCGGTAATAGGGCCAGGAACTGAGTCAGTCAGCTTCCCATCACAGTAACAAAATACCTGAGAAAACCAGCTTAAAAGAAGGCAAGATTTATTTTGGCTCGTTTTTCAGAAGTTTCCATCCATTGTCCCCTGGTCCCATCCCTTTGGGCCTGTGGGGGACCATACATAGTAGTGGGAGCACACGGCAAGGAGGCCTGTTCACCTCATGGTGATCTGGAAGCAAATAGGGAGAGGACACTGGAGGACTCCTGACAGAAGGGGCAGCGTGTGATTGTGCTCATGGGAGGTGGGGATAGAGAAGAAACAGACAGACCTCCCTCTGGGTTCTTGCCTTTGAAACTACAGGAGGTGTCCCTGGGTAAGGTTTGAAGGAAGGCCCATGCTTGGATACTGCCGAAGAAACCCTCAGCTTGAGGGGAGCCGGGTAGCAGGGTCTGAGATCAGAAGCAGGGTAAAGGAGGGGACGGCAGGATGTGGAGACTACAGAACCAGGTGACATGGGCCCTCCCATCAGCAGCCTGGCCGGCCAGCTGAGGGATCCTCCCCTCTCATTCCTGCCTCCGCGGAACATGGCCTGAAAGACCACATGGTTGTCCTCGGGAAAGCCTTCGGACAGACCTGCCCCTGGTGGCTGCGCTGGGAGGCCCACTGTGACTCATAAGGTGACAAGATCCTGTTCAGACGCTCTAGAGTGGCCAGTTCAGCCCAGTCCACCTGGAGTGCTGGTGCTGTGTGCCCAGAGAGCAGTCCTCAGGGACCAGTGTCGGGGGGAGCGGGGGTTGCTTCAGGTGCTGAGGCTGTGTTTCCTCACACCCTGCTCAGGGCCCACAGCCCACATCTGGACAGGGATGAAGAAGGACCTGGTGGACCTCTATTTCTCCAGGGTGGCTCATCTCCTTCACCTGGGGAGAGGCAGGAAGGGTAGGTGGGGGGGACCTCAGAGTGCCCCATCATCAGACTCTCCACGTGGTCAGTCCTCACGGATGTTTCACACAGTCCTCAAGCCACCAGAGGACTGAGCACAGTCCCTGTGCATGGGACAACCTCCAGCTCCTGCCTGTCCAGACAAGGTTTCCTGCCTCAGTGACCCATGAACCAACATTTGCCTGAATCTCGTGCATATCCGAAGTACCACTTTATTAGCAGTAAGTACCTAGAATTTCCTTTCTTGCTTTATTTTTTTTCTTAGTTAATAAGGGTTGAACTCGGTCTGAACACTGAGCTGCATCCCCAGCCCGTTTTTAATTTCTTATTTTGAGACAGGATCTCACTAAATTGCCCACGCTGGCCTCGAACTTTCCATCTTCCTGACGCAGCCTCCCGGAATGCTAGGATTGCGGACGTATACCACCACGCCCAGCTAAATTCCCCCATTATTTTTTTTTACCCAGGCTTGAAAATTCTTGGTGCCTGGGAAGGGCCTGCTTTGGTGCTAGCCCCGCAGAGCCGGCTCTCCTCCAGGGGCAGCTCCCTCCCGCCCGCGCCTTTCTCATGCTCAAGGCCTTCCTGCCTGCTAGGCCGGTGGGGATCTGAGCCCACAGCGTGCAGAGCCCCTGCCCACTGGCCGCTGTAGGCCTTGCCAGGCGTCTCCTCTCCGCTGTGAGAAAGGCCCAGCCCATCAGATAAGGTCCTACCCACAGCCACTGTCACCGCAGGAGGCTCAATTGCCTCCCAGGTCCCTCCAGCCCTGCCTCAAGGCAGGTGTGCTGCACGGAATGAATTTCACTACGCGATCTTTCTGGTTTCACTATGAGTTTTTCGACCCACGTCAGCACCCACAGCCCAGGGCCCTCCCCTGCCCCTCTCAGGCCAGGAGGAAAACCTCCCCACTCCTCTGTAGCAGGACAGACCTGGATAGCCCTCAGCAAGGACTTCCCTGATTCTGGTGGCCCCAGAGAGTCTGGATCCTGGTGCCAGGGATCCTGGCTTACTCTCTTCAGGCCTTTCCCACATCTGGAGAACCTGGATTCTCCGACCTTCACAGGGGCAGGCCACTGGGGTCCAGCCCAGAAACCTCGGTTCTGTCTGAAAGGCAGGCTGCCCTCTGGTGGCCCGATTTGGAATGGCAAGTGCCCCTGATGGAAGTAACTGGCAGGGTGCTCGGGTCCAGGAGGCTGGCCCTGGAGAATTCAAGGCAGGTACCACCTGGAAAGAGAGAAGAGCTCAGTGCTGAAATAGAGGACCTAACTCCAACTTCTCGTGCTCCCTGCTGGTGACTCCGAGCTCCACAATACCGAGAGAAGTCTACACTGGTCCCAGCAGCTGGGAGCTGCTGGGAGGACATGGCGTAACACAGGTAGACAAGGAGTCCTGACTTCCTCCACAGGTAAACTCCTCTTCTATTTACTTCCCCTGGGGAGCAAGGGAGCAAGTTCAGGCAAACTGCCCTTCACAACAGCTGCGGGCAAGAGACCTTATGAACTGCCTCACAGAGAAGAACTAGGATTCCAGAAGTTAATATAGAGTTTATATTTAAATATTTTGTGGTGCTGGGGACTGAACCCAGGACCTTCACACAGACCTACATCCCCAGCTCTTTAATTTTTTTTCTTTTTTGAGACAGGTTCTCACTAAACTAGAACTTGAGATCTTCCTGCCTCAGCCTCCCAGAGTGCTGGGATTATAGGTATGCACCATCACATCTACCTACACCCAGTTTATAAATTAGTAGCTGAGCCGGGCACGGTGGTGCATGCCTGTAATCCCAGCACTCAGGAGGCTGAGGCAGGAGGATCATTGCGAGTTTGAGGTCAGCCTGGCCTACAAAGGGAGCTCAAGGCCAGCCTGAACTATATAGCGAGACACTGTCTCAAAAAAAAAAAAAAGACCAAAATAAATAAATAAGTTAGTAGCTGAGCTAGGACAAGGACCTGAATCTCTTGGTTGATGGCTCAGACACTTGGAGTCTTCACTGAGGACCAGTCCCATGCAGGGAGTAGGACCAGTTCTCTGCTTATGAGCGGCCCAGCAGGGAAAGGACACCAAGGTGGGCACAGAAGGAGCATGTTGTCCACTTTGGAGTCCAGAAGGCTTCCTGGAGAAGGTGATTCCCTGTCTGACCCATCAGGGACCAATGAGCTTAAAGGACTGAGGAGACACCCGCCATGGAAGCAGGATGAGCAAGATGAAGTGACCTAGAGCCCACTGCCCGTATGGAGCCGCAGTAGGGGACAGTAGCTTTCCAGAAAGTGCCTGCACTTGCCAGTTTGTGTCTGTATCCTGCTTTACTCCTGACTAATAGTGCCTCCTTTGATTTTTAAAAGCATCCCCCCTGGGGCCCTCACAGCAGCAGGGATTGGTCCTCATCCCACGGCGGCATTGGGCAGGGACAGCTTGGGGTGGGGAAGCGGAATCATTTTGCACTTTGGTCAGCCCTAGGGTGGGGAAGAAGCTGCTGCTGGCCTCAAGGAAATGCAGGGGTGGAGAGCGTGGGGTGGAGGAGTCCATGGCAAAGGCCCAGGTGGGGGCTGTCAGGGCCCTGAGCCTGGAGAGCAGGGTCCAAATCCCAGAGGTGCACTGGTACCTTGTGGCATCTAACAGCCCAAGGAGCATGAGAATGACACCTCTGGCCATGCTGGAAGCACCGCCGGACGTGGAGGTGGGCTACCCTGAGACCTGGCCAAGGTGGTCCCTGCCGTGAGCCCCCTGCCCGCAGGTCACCAACAGCATGGACAAAGGTTACTTTTAAATTGCAGTTTCATAAGACAGTTTTAAATTTTGGTAAGAATGGAAGAAAGGCAACTGTTGGAGGACAGGTGTGAGAAAAAGCTGGCCCAGGCCGAAAGATGCTGGAGGAAGAGAGGTGATTATGTGTGTGTTGGCTGGGGAGAGACAGAGACAGAACGTGATGGTGTGAGTGGTGTTTGAGGGAGAGAGAGAAAGAAAGAGAATCATATAGTCATAGCCTCTGCCCTGGGAAACCAGAGGAAGAGTTGACACTCTTACCAAAAGCAATGGCCCCAGACCACCAAGGAGAGGAAGAGCCAGGCAGGTGGAGGGCCTCCACAACTGTATTCCTCCATTTCCTGTTTCATGGGGAGGTGTGGGGAAGAGGTGTTAGATTGGTCCAGAAATCCCAGACTAGAAGAGTGGGGTAGAATGAGTGGGTGCCCAAGCTGGCCCTCCCTTAGTAGGTGTGTGCTCAGTGTCCCAGTTTTCAGCCTCCCCTGCCCTTGGGCAGTGGCATCAGGCCTGGCCTGGGGACACCATACCCCCAGGAGTGGCTGCACGGACAGGGAGCAAACAGGACTGGGTCATGAGCAGAAGCACATATGGTGCCCCATGTGTGGAGCCCCACTAATGCACCTGCCCCAGGCTGGATGTGGGCAGGGGGAACAGAGTGAAAAGGAAGGTAATTCAGGACAAAGGGCAGAGAAGGTGAGGAGAAAAGAACAGGATGTGGTTGGTTCCTGCAGAACTCATGTTGAAATTGGCTTAGCATGGTGGCCTCCGGGAGTGATCTGGCCCTTAGGACGTATTAAAGCCATTCTCACAGACCTGGGTTCATTCTCACAGGAGTAAGTTCTTGCTCTCGCCAGACTGGATTAGTTACCATGAGAGGGTTTGTTTTTGTTTTTGTTTTTTTATAACATGAGGCCCTCTGGTGCTCTCTCCCCTCTGTTTTCTATCTCATGTGTCTAGTTGTCCTCCTTCCCACCATGAATGAAAGCATCACGGGCCCTTGCCAGCACCATGCAATTGGGCCTCCAGAGCCATCCACCAAGATAGACTTTTTATAAATCACCTAGTCTCGGGTACTCTATGATAGCAACAGTAAACGGACTAAAACAGGGTACAGTCTCAGAGAACCAAGAGTAAGGGAAAATGGAGTGTGCAGGGAAGTCAAGAGAAGCAAGATGAGGGTGAGTTTCTGAGCTGGCCACTACTTGATACCAAGGGCATCCAGAATGTTAGATCTTGTGGGACCATCTCCCAAGAGGCTTTATGAGGAATGTGACTCATAATAATCCCTCTGGGATGGGGAAACGGAAGTGTATGTCCACTGGCTCCTGTCTTCCATTGTCAAAGGATAAACTCAAGTGTGTTAATATTCCTGCAATCCTGCTTACAGGTTATGGGCACCAGGTTGGTCTCTCATTATCTCATCCCTCGGGGTCAGTAGAGAAGCCCCAAGGGATGATGGGAGGAGCTGGTGGATTATATTTGATGTGGAAGAAAATGCAGTGAGACCAATGGACCTGAGATGGATAAACTAGAAGTGTCTACTTTAGAGTGGAGATGCAGGCCAGCGGGGGTTAGGAAAGACTGCCAAATGGTTTTCCAAGTTGGTAGTGTCAAGCGCATCCAACACTGCACAAGAATCCCAGGCAGCTCCACACCCTTGCCAATGTTGGGAGTTCAGTATTAAGCATTCCGGTGGCTGTGCCATGATGGTATCTCACTCTGGCTTTAATTTATATTTCCCTGATAACTAAGGAGGCTGAGTTTATCAACTACTGGAGAGCCTCTTTTGGGAAGCATACTATTTAAATTTTTTTCCTGGGCCAGGGATGTAGCTCAGTGGTATAAGTGCTTGCCTGGCAAGCCTGAGGTCATGAGTTCGATTCCTGGCACCAAAATAAATAAATAAATAAATAAATAAAATAAATTTTTTCCTGTTGATCTGATATACATTTTTACATACAAGTCATATTTTTTTATACTTTTAGACACAAGGCCTTGATCAGACATATACACTGAAGTCGTTTCTCTCACATGGCTTTTGAGTCACAGATGTTTCTAATTTTAATGTATTCCAAATTGTCACCCCTTTTACTGCTGATGCTTCCCCTGTCCTGTTTAAGAAAATGAATGTATTATCACCTCTTCATATTCTAGCAACTTTGCTGTTTCCCGTTTCACATGTAAATTCACCCGGAATTGTGCTATAGTTTGGACCGGGAGTGCCCCACCGCAATGGCACATATGTCCAAGGCCCAGCTTGGTGCTGTTACGAAGTAGTAAAACCTTTATGAGGTGGAGCCTAGTGTGAGGTCTTAGGTCATTGGTGTCAGGTCCTCAAGGACATGGTAGGAATGCAGCAGCCCCTACACCCATTTTTGCCTCCTGGCCACCATAAGGCAAGCAGCTTTGCTCTGCCATGCATCCCCCAACGTGACGCACTCACTGCCTCACCAAAGGCCAAAAGGCAATGGGGCCAATCATGGCCCAGAACTTTCAAAAGTAGGAGCTAAAATAAACCTTTTATTCTTCTAAGGTGATTGTCTGAGGTATTTGTTACAGTAGTGGAAAGCCAAAACAGGTTGATTTTAAGGTCTGGTGTAAGATGGGAGTGAGAACAAGCCTGCCCCCAATATGAATACTCTAACATACCATCATTTATTGAAAAGTCTGTCCTTTCTACACTGCTCTGCAATGTCAACTTCTTGGTAATAAACCCAGGACAAGTCTGCTTCAGCATTTCCTGTTTTGTTTCACTAGCAGATTTATTGTTGCACCAATACCACAATGTTTTCCTTAGTATAATATGAGTCCTCCTATCTGTTCAAATATCAGCTTGCTAAATTTCACCCCTTAACTCCCCCCTGCAAAATCCAAGTAAATAACAAAATTCTCTAGTACTTTGCGATTGTATCATCTGTTGATGGTTCTATAACTCAAGTTGGAGAAAACAGTTAAAATTCCAATCCATGAACATGGTATATCCCTCCATTCACTTATACCTTTAACAATTTCTTTCAGTGATGTGTTGTAGTTTCTGGGTAGAAATTGTATGTGTCACTAACTGGGCTTATTGTTAAGTATTTGATTTCTATCCTACTACAAATTTTATTTTCTAATGGTCGCTGGTATATAGAAATGCAATGAGTTTTTTTGAACTGAACTTGTATCCGGTGACTTTACTAAATGAACTTATTAATTTTATCTGCATATTTTTACTTTCTACATACCCAGTTATGTCATTTGTGAATAACAATCTTATATTGTCTTCCTTTCTATTTTTTTTTTGTTTTTGTTTTTCGTTTTTCTTCCGGTACCAGGAATTGAACTCACGACCTTGCGCTTGCCAGGCAGGCGCTTTGCTGCTGAGCTAAATCCCTAGCCCCATTGTCTTTTTATCTTATCTTATCTTATCTTTTAATTCTTTTTCTTGCTTTATTACACTGGCTAAAACCTCCAGGACAGTATTGGATGGAATTGATGAATACTAGCATTCTTTCTTACTTCTAATATCAGTGGGAAAACATTCAATATTTCACTTTTAAGCATAATATCTGCAAACTTTTTGAGTTTTTTGTTTTGTTTTCTATCTTGGATGTTTGTTTTTAGATAGAAACCTTTATCAGATAAAGGAAGTCCCCTTCTGTTTCAATATGTTAAGAGTTTTTGTTTAAATTCGGTGTGACTGTTTTTGTATCTACCAGGAAGCTCCCATAGTTTGCCTTTTTACTCAGTGTGGGGCATCATAGTGACTTTGGATGGTAAACCAGTCTTGCTAACTTTTTATTCCCATTGGAGGTTCCACTTTAATTCCACTAAAACGACCTCCTTCCTGAGCTAGGATCCTGGACAACCACACACAAACTCCACCCTGTGCAGAGCTGCTGCACCCCATTTCCTCAGCACAAACTCCACACTCCAGATTCATCCTTGAAGACCACAGGCTTCTGGCCTATGGAGCTCATGCCAGTGCCTGTACCACAGTACCCAGCCCCTGAGCACACTGCCTCTGGCTACACCGTCACCCAGCACCCCCAAGTGTTACACTGGCAAATGAGTGGTGAGTCACACTAGAAAAGGCCGAGGCTCCCCAGGTCCCTACCATCTTGAGGACCAAGCAGCTCCGGGCTAGGGCAGCTTCCCCACCCGACCTCGCGCGAGGCTCCTTTAAGAGAGTCGGCAGCTGAATGCGTCTCTGGGACGGGAAGCGCAGGTCGCCAAGAATGTCGGGCTCCGACGACAGGACCGGCGCATGGAGGATGAAACTTCTCCGGGTGGCCTCCCCCTGCATGCTCCCCCAGCACGTCCACCCTGGGTCCTCCCAATTCCACTCCTGAGCTCAGGTTCCCGCCCCGACTTCGAGGTTCTCTCCCCCGGCGAAGCGCCCCAGTCCCCCTCCCCGCCACGCGCCCATCTCTTTGCTCCGCCCCGGCCCGGGATTCCACCTCTGCCCCTCTCCCTAGCCCCGATCCGCCCCGCGTCTGTCGCACCCGGCCGGGCCCCAGCAAACCCAGAGGCCACGTTCGGGGGGAAGACCCGGCCTCATCCACATGCAGGGGACGGCGCGTCGCGGCGGCCGCCAGGAAGAGACAAAGGCTGTTCCGCCACCGGCCGCACCGTGCCAGCCTCACCCCGCCCGCCGTCCCGGTGGCCCTGATGCGGCCCCCCTCATCCGTCCCGCGGGTCTGGCCACACAGTCCAGGCGGCTTCTGGGAGGAGGCGGCCTCCACCCGATCTGCACAGCCCTCTTCTGGGGTCTCCCGGGCACTTGCACTACCCCGGCCACCTCGAGCTGGGCTGGGGCGCACAGGGCCTCTGCCAAAGTCCTAGTGTGCTGCTGGCTGTGATGCGGACCGCAGGGTCTGCGGACTGGACCTGAAACCAGACACAGGCCAGAGCCCGGGGCGGGGCGCTGGCGCGGGACGCCCTGCCCGAAACTCCTTCGAAACTCCTTCGTGGCGTTTGGTTCCCTGTAGGTGAGGATCAGGGACTACAGGTCTTCACCCGGGCCCTGCCGGCCCGCGCCCCCAGGCACACACCAGGCCTTTGATCACAGGTGCTTAAGGCCTCCAGATCAGCACCCGGCCCCGGCGGCCCACTCTCCTGCCTGCAGCTGCCTCTCACAAGCAGCCCTCTCCACTGGAGGCCGCGGAGGCATCAGAAAGTTTGTGGCAGTGGAGCATGGTGATCCACGCCTGTTATCTCAGCCACTGTAGCAGACTGAGGCAGGAGGATTGAAAGTTCTAGTCCAGTCTGGGTAACTTAGTGAGACCCTGTCTCAAAATTTGAAGGCAAAAAAAAAAAGGACCCAGGCATGTAGCTCAGTATTTAGGGTTTTAAAAAAGTTTGCATCCCTGGCCGGGATTTAAAGGTTTTTGGAAGTGCGGGCACACAGTGGGTACCCAATACCCGGACAACTGTTATTACTGACGCCTTCCTCGCCCTCCTTAAGGGCGGGAGCCCTTTTGCCTTTGAGTTCTATCCTCTCCCCACCCCACCCCCGCCCCCGCTCCCGCCCTGACTGGATGTAAGGAAGACAACTCAGTCTACGGGAGGGCCCTTCCCTCCCTCAACCGGGAAGTTCTTCCTAGGTCTCTCGTTTGCTCGAAGTCCTCTTGTCCTTTTGCAGACTAGGACTGGGGATAGGGGCGTCTCCTTTAAGGGCCATGGGGGAGGGGGTGCCGGCCGGGCCTCCTTCCGCCCCTCCCCGGCCCGCACTGCCCGGGGGCCTGGGGGTTTGGGCCTGGTGCCAGCGCATGCGCCCGTCTGTGGGCGCTGTCCGGTCTGCAAGCGCCGCAAGCGCACAGACAGACTGACCGATGGACGGACTGGCGGCTGGCCGGACAGACCGGGCAGCGCAGGGAGCGGGGACACGGCGGGATCGAGACATGACGGGCCACATCCAGCAGCCGAGCGGGCGCGGGAACCCCGGCCCTGCTCCCTCGCCTTCTCCGGGCCCTGGGCCAGGACCCGGTGCCTCAGAGCGGGTGGCACTCAAGAAGGAGATCGGGCTGGTGAGCGCCTGCACCATCATCATTGGTGAGCAAGGCCCGGGGCAGACGGGCAGACAGACGGACAGACGGACGGGCCCCCGGGTGGCAGGGTCAAAGGCTGAGAGCAAGGGGCGCCCCCTGTCCGGTGCTCCGGCTGTGTGCGACGGTGGGGCTGCGGGGACCGCAAGCACCTGCGCTGTGCGTCCTGGACCGCGCACTGACCCGCACGCTGACCCGCACGCTGACCCGCACGCTGACCAGCGCGCCGAGCCCGCGCTGGCTGCTCAGCTGCTGTGGTCCTAGCCGCGGGAATCATCTGCTCATTGGGGAGTTCTGGTCTGCTTCACCTCTGGATCCTCCTCCTTTACCTCCCTGTGGGACTTTGGCAAAGCACTTACCCTGTACCCCGTCTAGGAAATGGAAATATTGACGACAGTCCTGATGGTAGGGCAGGAACCTACCAAGTGCTGAGCTATGGGTGGGTCTGAATCCCTACTGTGTGCTGGCCTAGGTGCCATGCACTTCGAATGATCTGTTCTTGGAAAGCAGGCAGGACTATGGGTAGACTGGCAGGTGGAGCCTGTACAGAGGGGAAATGGATTCAGAGCCTGTGATCGTCCCTGGACGTGGCAGTAGGTCCAGGAGAGGGAGAATAGCCAGTAACTTGGTGGCAGCGGTGGGCGGGCCAAGCCTGCAGGAGGACTGGCTGCCCCCTGGCTGGGATATCAGCAGGCTGGGCTCTCAGATCCCAGCTTCCCCCTTGAGCAAGGGTCTGTGTGTCCAGCCTCCACCTAAGGGCTTCTGGGTAGGGAGGGAAATCAGGGGCAGATTTTTCTCCCTCTGTCCCAAGTCAGGAGTAGTGACTCTTGAGTAACTGGGCTAACCCAGACCAAGTTGCTCTGAACCCTCCTGGGAGTGACATTTTCTGTCCCTTGTGCCCAGAAGATGGGGTCCAGGGGGATGAATAACTGGGGTCATGGCTGTTCTATACCTTCTCCAGCTAGCAGGAGCTGCTTGTACACACACTATCACCTTCCCGCCCTCAGAACCCTGGACACGGAGAACACTGGGGGCTCCACAGAGCAGGGTCTCCACTTCCTCCGACTCTGCCCCATATCAGAAGCTCCTGGGCCAGAGCTACTGTCTGGGTCTCAGCCATGCTCTCCCTTTACACTGAGAGAGGCCCAGGAATCCAGCCCTGGATAGGTGGCTGCACTGTCTCCCCTCTTCCTCCCAGAATGGGCATCTCCCAGGAGCTGATCTGGCCCTTGGAGCTTCCAGGCCTGGATACCCTGCCTGGCTATTGCTGGAAGGAAGGGTTGGTTTGGGGCTCCTGTACCCTGCCTATACCCTCTCCAGGAGCTCACACATCATGAGTGGCCAGGGGCTCAAGAGACAGGCTGTGTCTGGACCTGGCTTCAGGCCAGCCAAGGGCAGGAGACACAGCTCTACCTAGGCTGCCTCAGTGAAGCCCAATATCCCTGAGCTGTGTCCTACCTTGTGTCTTCCCCACATCTCATTCACCTCAGGTCAGGCAGAGGCTGCCAGGGTTCCGGCCCTCTAGAAGAGGGCTCTGGTGGTGATGGGAAGGGAGGAGCCAGCTCCACCACCATGCTTCTTCTCCAGGACAGGTCCTGAAAGCATTTTCTCCTGCAGCCCAAATGTGTCCCATCAGCTCCTTCACCCTTCAGCTCATTCTTGCTTCACCACTTCCCCTTGGCCTCCAGACCTTGAAGTCTGAGCTACGGTGAAAGGCAATTTGGCCAACCAAGGATGGTGGATTTGGAAACAGAACCTAAATGACCTGACACCCAGCTCATGACCCTTAGTGCTAGTCCTATGAGCCCAGCCCGGGGAAGTTTGAAGGTTACAGCTGGCAGGAGGCTGAACTGGGCCGTGGACAAAGGACGAATCACCCTCATCTAGAATGTGACTGAAGCTGAGGGCCAGATGGTCCTGCCCTCCCCACCTGGTCCCCTCAGGGACTCACCCCTCTCCACCCACTGCTCTGGGGAACCACCATGCCCATCCCACCCAACTTCCACTCCTGATGAGCTCGCTTCCCTTCTGCCTTGGGAAACCTGGTCAAAAGCAACGTCTGCAAAGTGTCACAGTTTACCATTACAGATCTTGAGAACTTTACATCCAGCCCCATAATCTATCCTTGTTTGGTACCAGAATTTCTAAATAGATATTCCCAGAAGAGCCTATCAGTTGTCACTCATTATAACGTCTGCCCCCTCCCAGGCTGAGGAGGGAGGCTTTCAGGAATGGAGAGATAGGGAAAGGCTGGCTATAGGCAGGAGTGAGATTCCACCTAATCTGTGGTTAGGACAGTGCCTGCTGGAGTGCAAAGCTGCAGCAGACGAGGCCAGGCTGGAGGAAGGAGAGGCAGCTGGGGCAGGGCTGTGCAGGACAGCACCACCAGCTCTGCTTGCTCTGGAAAACACCTCTTATTGCCTTATGAAAACATATTCTTCCTCCCTTTGATTCTCATGTTCGCTCTGGAAGATGAGCGAACATTTGTGCACATTATGCAGATATACAACCCGAGGCTGGAAGTTTAGTGAAACTGCTGCAAGTGGTGGGCTTGGAATTCGGAACGAGATTTGGATTCAGCTCTCTGTATAGTGCCTTCCATATTGCTCTGATGCAGGGCATAACTGGGGCCAGACTCAGAACCTATGATGCGAGAAGGTTAGGGGTTGAGTTGGCAACTCAGTCAACCAGGGTAGGCTGGGATCCCCACTCCACTGTGAAGGTACACACAGATGAACAAGGAAGTCAGCATTCCCCAGTGGCTGGACACGTAGCCTCGCTCATCCTGACTTGGGGGCCTTGGCCAACTCCCTCACACAGTCCACAACCAAGGAAGGGACATGCCTAGGTCTGCAGAGTGGGCCTGCTGACCAGACTCGTCCTTCACCTCTCTGTGTAACTCAAGTCTCCAGCTTTACAGATGTTTGAAAGACTCAGGTGGTTCCTTTATGAGCCCTTCTTTCCAGGAGCCAATTGCTGCTCATCCAGCCTCAGCTAGGTCCCTGTCTGTGGCCTCCAGGGCTGGAGGTGGCTGGGCCGCTTGGAGAGGATGCGCCTCCATAGAACTCCAGCCCCTTCCCACGGGACCCGGAGGAGACATCTACACCAGAGCTTGTCCCATTTATATATGGAACTGAGGACCCTATGCTGCAACCTGCTTAGGACCAGGTGCCCTTGGGGCGCTGTGGGACACTACTGGAAGCCAGGATAGCCCAAGTTACCACGACAGGGACTTGACAGCCCTAGACACATTCATCGGCTTGACAGTGCTGAGCACGGATCTAGGTGCTGGTCATCCAACAGCGAACAAGACAGGCAACTCCCTCTCCCCTTAGAGCTGAGTCCCAGCACAGGAGCTGAATAGCAAACAGGATGAACAAGGCCAGTGTACAATCAACAGGTCGTGATGCCAGATAACGGGGCCAGAAGAAGGACCCAGAGTGCTGAGGATGGGGGCCTGTAGGTCGGAGATAAATCGGGGAAGGGATGAAGTTTGGCTTGTGTGGAGTTTTGCAAGGGGACTGCAAGGGAGAGCTCGTGCAAGGCTTTGATCAAAGGAGGGGCAAGACAGGACTTACTGTGCTTACTATGGAGAGGCTGAGTGGGCAGGGCTGAGCGTAGGAAGCCAGGTAGGAAGCCACCTGGACGCGAGGCAGTGATGGCTTGGGCCAGGGTAGCGGCAGGAGGTGCTGAGAGTGGTTCAGTCCCAAACACGTTTGGAATGTAGAGCCAGAGGATGTGTGACGAGCTGGATGTGGGCTGTGGGAGAAAGAGAGGGGTCCAGGGTGACACAGAGTCATGGCCTGAGCCTCTGGGAGCGTGGTTTGATGCTCACTGGTCTGGGAAGACTAGCAGAGCAGCTATCGGGAAAGAAGTAGTAGCGGGAATTCCATTTGAACACGTTAAGTTTCAAACGTTAAGGTTAAGCCTCTTTGCTGGGTAGTTATGATTTAGGTGGAGATGTCTATACTACAGATATAAATTTAGGAGTTACTAGCAGAAGCCTCTAAAGGAGAAAGAAAAGGAAAGATGCCTCAGGATAGAACCCCAGACACCCAACGTTAGAAGTCAGGCAAGAAAAGGCACCAGCAAAGAATTCCAAGGAGCCACCAGCAGGATAAGGGGGAGGCCAGGAGACGGAAGGAGGAGGGTCTGACCAACCTGCCACATGCCACATGAACCACAGAAGATGCAAGCTAGGCCTTGACTAGGGCTTGACTGTTGGATTCGGTACATGGTGCTCATGGCAACCACGACAGTACAGCCAGGGGATGGATATGGTGCAGGTCATGCGTGCTGGGCTGGGTGAGGTAGGTCTGAGTGAGCCAGGCAGAGAGGATGCCCCACTTCAGCTCAGTCCCTCTCTCCAGAGGAAAGTTAGTGAAGCGGGAGGTGCACACAGCCAGTTAGCCATTCCAGGCATGTCTTGAGTATCCCCACTCACCTTCCTGGGGTCCCACCAAGACCTTAGTGGGCACATCTAAGGGAGGTACCTTACACAGGCTTATTGAGGGGACATGAGGGCGTTTCTGTGCTTGGAGAAGGCCTGTCCAAGTCTTAGTAGGGTTCTAGTTGCTCATCCCAGGGTGTTGGGTTCCTAAGGAAATCAGGTCTACAAAGATGGATGGCCTAGAGGGTGTCCATGGTGGAAACATTAGTGCATTCCATAAGCACTTTCCATGGCCTCGGATGGTCCAGACAGGGCCAAAGCATGCCAGCAGCAGCTAAAGGAATCCTTTCCTGACCATCCTCCAAGTGCCACTGGAGGAGATTCCAAGGTGGGCGGTCAGGGAGAGCTTCCTGGGGTGGGGGTTGTTTCAGGGAGGCCAGGAGAGGCCCACTACAGTGGGGGACCCTGCGCAGACTGTGTCACAGACACAGCACAGTGTAACAGGGTGCATTGCCAAAGTCGGACTCAGGCCAGCTCTCTGCTGCCCCCTAGCCAAATAATCTCACCTGGTAAATGGGGAAACTGAGGCCCCGAAGGGCAGCGTTGGCCTGAGGTCACAGAACCAACTCCCAAATATGTTTCTGGGGATGGAGGGGTGCCAGTGTCCCAACTTGCCTGAACCTCCCTGACTCTCCCCAGAGGAGCAGGCACAGCCCCTGCACACATCACTGGCGGTGGCTCACTGGGCAGACTCGACCTCCATGATCCACCCCTGTGACCTCCATAGTCTGCTGCTGCCACCCAAAAATAGGTCAGTGTGCACCGCAGCAGGCATGGGGAACAATGGCCCTTTCTTCATTCCTCCGAGGAGCCGGGGTAAGCCCCATCAGGCCAAACATCTTAATGTGATAAAAGCCACCCAGTGAAGGCTCAAGGAAAAGGGGCGGGAGGTAGAGTCGCTGGAGGCCTACGAGTGGGGGAACTCATATCCTCACCTCGCTGGCCCCCTGGGACGACCTACAAGGACCAGACAACCTGTCCCATTGGGTGGACGGCAGTGTGGAGGCCTCAGGACCCAGGTCTGTCCTCAGCATCCTCCCTCCTTCCTCTTCTCCTCTGCCTCCGACCAACTCTCCCCCACCCAGGATCCCTGCAGAGTCCCACCCACATGGTGCCTAGAGCGGCATGCAGTGGACTATGATGAGATTCTTCTGCCACCTTTAAACACACACTGAGGACGGGTACTGGAGGTTGTGCAGGCCCAGAGGGAAAGGACTTGAGGACCTCCGGCACTGGCTAGCACCCGAGGTCCTTGGAGCCACATGGGGAGAAGTGCTGAATGGTAGCCGGAGACCACATGTCCAAAACAATAGGGGTGCTCCCTGCCCCCCAGAGCCCAGCATCCGGGTCTCGGCCATCTGGCACAGGGCTAGTGATACCCTCTTCAGACCCCAGTCTAGAAGACAGGGTGCCAGGTATGGCTTCCCCAAGGGCGATACCTGTGAGAACTCACCAGGCTGAGCTGTGTAGGGAGACGGCATCTTCACAGGGTGGGTGGCTTGGGGCCCTGGATGCCCCTAGCTCCAACATGTCCAGCTCCTTCCAAGGCCACCCAGCCCCCGCTGGCTTCCAACCTCACTGGCTTTTGGCAAATCCTGCTTCGCCAGGTCCTGAGAACTGCTGCCGGATGGAGCGAACTCAAAGGCCCTTTGGAAGCCCAACAGCCCACCCAGGCCCTGAGTCCCTTGTGGTAGATGCAGAAGGCAGCTCCTATCCCCGCTCCCCCCTCAGAAGTGGACTGAGGACAAAGCTCACCTCGGCGGGTTGGGGCACAGGACTTATTTCATCCTTATCTGGATGTATTTAGGGCTCCTGGGATGTGACCAGAAAGCCAAGTGACCATCCAGACTGAAAATCTGTGTCGACTGGGGGTGGGTAGCACCGTGGACAAGAAGTGAATGCAGATTGGCAGCCACAGTTGTGTCCTCGTCCAGCCCCGCCTGTGGCCTGGCAGGTGGAGTGGGCAGCCTCTGCTCTGATGGCCGTGTGACCTCCTCTCAGGGTACTGTCAGGTGGGGATGATTCTTGTCCTGGTCCCACCAGTGCTGGCTCTTTTGTCCACATAACTTGTGGGCCTGGGATGCCGTCCCCACCCCGCAGCAGACCCCAGTGAGAATCCCCTGTGCGGGCACCTGATTTGCTCGCCCAGAGGATGACAGCCGTGTAACCTAGTCACCACCCTGCTTTGCTGTAACTGCTGGAGAGCTCAAGGCTAAATGGTGCTAAGGGCCCTGCAGACCATGACTTGACCTCCTGGACATTTTCCATTGTTTTGGGGAGCAGAGGGGCGCGTTCCCTTCCCGCTCCCAGACACCTTGGGTCTACAGGGGCAACCCTTGACCCCCACCCTTCACGTTCTTAGAAGGATGAGTCTTTTCCCGGGAAATAGGACAGGCCTTCCAGAACTATAGCATGTTCCATGTGCGTGGAACTTCGGGAGCCTGCCACCTCTCCACTCCTCCTCACTGTCCTCCAACAGAAGAACTGAACAGAGCCTGGTGCCCTCACCTCACAGGCAAGAAAATAAGTCCTTCTTCTCAAGCTTAGATGCCACGTCGGGCAGTGGGCTTAGTTATCTATTAGTTTACTTAACAGATGCTTACTGAGGTGCTGCAGAGAGAACGCTGGGAAGTGAGGTGACTGCAGGCTGGTGGTCGTCGCCACCTGCTGGTGAGGTGCAGGCAGTATATGCAGAATCACCCAAAGGAAGTTGCCAGCCAGCCCACCTCGGGGACAGCTGTGAGTAAGCTCAGGGCTTCACACCTGTATCTCACTAGGCCCTCACAAGAAGCCCATTTTACACACAGGGTTGGAGCGGTAAGCAGGAGCAGGCCCCAGGCCTCTGAGCCCAGCCGGAATTTCACGTTGTGCAAGTGGGAGCATCCCAAGGAGAGCGGCAGTCTGTCCAGACTCCCGGCTGGCTGGAGTCTCTGCCAGGCTGCCATTGCCTACCTGGCCCCTGTGACAACATCCAGCCCTAAACGTGCACTAATCTCTTTCACTAACTTCGCATGCCCAGGACTCGAGACTAGGAAACAAGGTCTCTTTAGAGCCTCTGTCCACAGCCTGGGTTCCAGGTGAGAGGAAGGCTGCCTGGCAGGGAATGGAGAGACAGAAGACGAAGAAATCAAGTGCAGAGCAGGGCTGTGACCTGGGCAGAGGAGTCCACGCAGGGTGGATCAAGGAGGGTTCTATGGAGGAGGTGCTACTCCCCAAGCCACCCTACGAGTCCAGACTCTGGCCATAGGAGAGTGGCAGGCGGGAGAGCAGTCAAGGTCTCACTTTAAGAGGCCAGCTCTGGCCAGCAGCTTGCAGGGAGGACAGGCGGCTGCGGGCTGACAAGACTGGGGCCCTTGAGCCCGGGCAACATGGTGATGCACAGGAGTGGCCACGCTCTGCCGTGGTCCAGGTGGCTGCACCACCACCACCACACCTTGCTGGCTCCACCTCACACTGGGGAGGAGAAAGATCAGAGGAACTCGAACCCACTTCTAGCAGGAGAGCCTGGTTGGCTGACAAGCTGCCATTTCCCATGCCAGGCCTGATGATGGGGCTGACGGTGAACCCAGAACGGGCCTTGCCAGGTGTGAGGAGCACAGTGGCAGCCACACACCCTCTGCTCCCCCAGAAAGTGCCCAGGCTTCCTTCCTCACGGCAGCATCCAAGCCCCCCAGAGAAGGCTGGGCTGCCGCAGAGGACATCAGGCCTGATGCCTCCCATCTCTCCCTTGCAGGGAACATCATTGGCTCGGGTATCTTCATCTCACCCAAGGGTGTCCTGGAGCACTCAGGCTCCGTGGGTCTGGCCCTCTTCGTCTGGGTCCTGGGTGGGGGCGTGACAGCTCTGGGCTCCCTCTGCTATGCAGAGCTGGGAGTCGCCATCCCCAAGTCCGGCGGGGACTACGCCTACGTCACAGAGATCTTCGGGGGCCTGGCTGGGTGAGTGTGGGGCTCTGGCGGGGCAGGGGACAATTCCTCCCAAACAGGATGGCTATTGAGCAGTGAGCCTCAGTTTCCTCTTCTGCTTCCTTCATCATGGGGAAGTCAGGAGAGTGAGTGGAGAGAAGGGGGTGGGGTGCCCAACAGGCCAAGGTCAGGGGCCCCAGTGCCTGTCCCACTCTACCTATACCTGCTAGCTCTTCAACCTCTCTGTGTTACCTTTAAAAGAGCTCTTTTAAGCCCCTTGCCCACCTGGGTGCTTATGAAGGAGGGAGGCTTTTACTCTCTGAAGCCAATAGACAAGCTAGTACCTAGGTAAGGAGAACCTGACTTGTAGTAAACCCAACTGCCGCATGAGCAGGGGGAGAGGATGAGGCCCGTGCCAGAGGACCCCTTTACACAGCTCCCTGGCATTCTATTTTTTTAAGTTTAAATCAATTTCTTTCATTTATTTATTTTTATTAGTACATGTTTGCCATACGTAATGATACACTCATCATAGGGATTTTTTTTTTTTTTTTTTTTTTTTGAGACAGGGTCTCTCTATGCAGCTCAGGCTGGCCTTGAGCTCACTGTGTAGCACAGGCTGGTCTCGAACTCACAACAATCCTCCTGCCTCAGCCTCTTGAGTGCTGGGATTGTAGGCATGCGCCACCACGCCTGGCTAACGTAGGGAATTTGTACCTGTACATGACGTCTTAATTCTTTTCTTTCCATTCCCCTTCCTTCCCTTCAACTCTTTTTCCTATCCCCATTTACAAAAGCTTTGTTTCCATGTTTTCCCTTCCAATTTCTTTTTCTCTAATCCTTTTTCCCTTCCTTCCCCCTCTCTCTCTCCCCTTGTTCTCCTTCCCATTTTAACATAGCATTCTTAATTTACCCATGAACACTTGCTGGGCACGCACTTTGGGCTAAGGACTAGGGATGCCATGATAAAAAGATCTGTCTTTGTCCAAATGCTACTCATAGAGCAGAGAGAAACAGCTCCTCAAACAGGATGCAACCTAGCAGATCCTTGCTTTGAGGACACATACCAGAGGCAGCAGCCACACAGCAGAGAACCAGGTGCCCGTTGTCCCGGGAAGGCTCCCACAAAAAGTGTGTTTGCACCAAGCCTTGCAAAAAGGATAAGATTTTCCTCCCAGGCTGATGGGAGCAGGGACAGAGGGCGTGCTGGTTGAGGCCAGCATAGTCTACCTGTTGTGGTCACGTTCACGGCAGGCAGCAGGGCTTGGAGGAGACAGGAGATTGATATTCTTACTCAACATGAGTCTTGTCAAGGGCCTCAGTGGTACAGGCAGATTCCAGAATCACTCAGGAACTTCGGGACGTGGCAGCCAGCATGGGATGAGGGTTAGGTGGGTACAGTGGGGGGAGGACACAGCTTCTGGCCCATCTCAGAGGCCCCATAGTTGGTGCACCTGGGATGGGCAGGAGGAGACCTTGGGTAGGGATTCTGATGTTTGCAGGGTCTGCGGCATGTCTGGAGCAGTGCTTGGTGAGGGCTTGGGTGGAATGTCTGGAGTGCAGAGGAAAGGTCCAGGCTGAAGTGCACAGAATTGGTTCTGAGGGACTTGGACCAAGGACCCTAAACTGGGCAGCTCTGTGTGTGGGTCCATAGCTGCTCACCTCGGAGGAGAGGCTGGGTCTCTGGGAAGCAGAACAATCGCGCTGTGGGTCTGGAAAGGATGCTTGGGGAGAAGGTGAGAGAGAACAAGTATCTACCCCATGGGCATCCACAAAGAAGGAAGATTTTTGAGCCAGAAACCAAGGGGTTGGGGATGCGGTACAAATAAAGGGTAAAGGACGTGGCTGCCGTGCAAACCTTGAGGATCAACGGGAACCCAGTGGAGTCAGTGACCCAGAAACTGCTGGTGTCCCTAATGCAATTCCCATCCTCAATGGCGGACCAGGAGCTAGGACCACTCTGAGGATAGAACCTCCCTGAGGACAGACCCTGGGGCCAGCACAGAGCTCCCAGTCCCATGGGTTCCCTGCATAGTTGAGGTTCTGGTACATAGGGCATGAATCGTGCCCCTCCCATAGCCAGGGCCTTTTGCAAGGTCCACTGTGCATGCCAAAAGACTCCCTCCCTTTGGAGCAACTGCTCAGAATCAACCATGTTCAGCCACAAGGCTCTGCTGGGAGCCATGGCTGAAACCGCGACTACAGGTCCAAGACAGGGACTACAGGTCTCTGGTTCTGGATACAGCCCATGGTCAAGGGGTGTAGGCGCTCATTTGGGAAGGTGTTTTGGTCCCCACATCCTTCCTAATGCCTGCCCAAGGTCATCTGTGCCTCCCTGGCCTTGAGGGCCAGTCCCAGCACAGCCCAGCTCCCCATACCCGGGCCGGGCACTGGGAGGGCTGGGAATGCCTGTACCACTCTGGTCCTTGCTCCTTCCAGATTTCTACTGCTCTGGAGTGCTGTGCTTATCATGTACCCCACCAGCCTGGCCGTCATCTCCATGACCTTCTCCAACTATGTGCTGCAGCCTGTGTTTCCCAACTGCATCCCCCCTGCCACAGCCTCCCGAGTGCTCTCCATGGCCTGTCTGAGTGAGTCCCCAGGAGGCCCCTGGCTGGACCTCTGTCCCCAGAGCAGCCAACTGCCCCACCCCACCCTGCTCTCAGCCCTGGGTGCAGGGACAGTGGGGCGGGACCCCTCAGCCGCCCACCCCCTACTACATCGGTCTCAGGACCTGGGTTCCCACATGCAGGCTGTTACAGGAGCTGTCCTTCTCTTGCCACCTGGGCTGGACCTCACTGTGGCCCATGGTGAGGGTCTCAGCCTCAGGCGCTCTTCCCTCCCCAGTGCTCCTGACGTGGGTCAACAGCTCCAGTGTGCGCTGGGCCACACGCATCCAGGACATCTTCACAGGCGGGAAGCTGCTGGCCCTGTCGATCATCATTGGTGTCGGCTTTGTTCAGATCTTCCAAGGTAGGGCCAGGGTGGGAGTGTGAGCAGGGCTGGCAAGACCGTACTAATCCCTGATGTCTGGACCTCCAGGACACTTTGAGGAGCTGAGACCCAGCAGTGCCTTTGCCTTCTGGATGACACCCTCTGTGGGTCACCTGGCCTTGGCCTTCCTCCAGGGCTCCTTTGCCTTCAGTGGCTGGAACTTCCTCAACTACGTCACTGAGGAGCTGGTGGACCCTCGAAAGTGAGTGGGCCCCCAGCCAGTTACTGGGAAGGGGAGGGCCCCCTGGTGGGAGAAGCAGCCTGTCTGCACAGACGAGGGTCACCTGTGACTCACACCGGGCCTCAGCAGGCCTCGCTTGCTGCCAGTTGGAATGGCCCTGGACAGGAATGGGAATGCTGGTATGCAAGCCTGGCCTTGGTCTGGGTGGCTGTAGATGCATCAGAGCCCCTTGCTGGACCTCAGAAAGCCTGAGTATTATTATCCTTCTATAAATAGATCTAGTGATTTGCATTTGGCCCAAAATTACACATATGTACACAACATGGTCCCTACAGCTGAAGCCAGTGACTGCATCTGATGTTCAGCCAGGGGTCTGGACAGGGAACTATTGTAGCCAAGTGGGCTGAATGGATGGGAAGTCCCAGGGGAGACCCCAGGCCTGCAGGCTGGTCTCTATGGACACTTGGGGGATTTTCCAGTCTGCTTTTGGCTTTACATAGTTTTTGTTTCATGTAGACATTCATTAGATCTTCCTTTCAGGATACAGTGTTCCCCCCTCCCGCAGCTGCCCTTCCTTCTGCCAGCCTGTGCTCAGGTGGGAGTGGGGGAAAAGTAGGGAACAGTGCCCCCGTGTCCTGAGCAGCAACGCTGCCGCCTTTGCTGCCCCAGCACCCCTAGATGGAGGCCAGCGCAGGAAATAGACTCAAAGCTGCCCCTGTTGCTGGGTGCCCTGGTCCCTCCCCAGGTCCCATCCCTCCCACGAAGGGCTGACATTGACGGCCTCTGACTGTCCCCAGGAACCTACCTCGTGCCATCTTCATCTCTATCCCCCTGGTGACCTTTGTGTATACGTTCACCAATGTCGCCTACTTCACAGCCATGTCCCCCCAAGAGCTGCTGGCCTCCAATGCAGTGGCTGTGGTGAGTGGGGACCCCTACCCAGTCCCCAGCCCCTGCCCTGACGCCCATGCCAGCCTCACCCTCAGCCTTTCTTCTATGCTCACTCAGACCTTCGGGGAGAAGCTGCTGGGCTACTTTTCATGGGTCATGCCTGTCTCCGTGGCACTTTCCACATTTGGAGGGATCAATGGCTACCTGTTCACCTCCTCCAGGTGACTGGGCTGGGAAAGGGTGGTGTGGTGCAGCCAGGCCGGTGCCCTGGTGTGTGAAAGCTGTGCTGAGGACCACGGGAAGGGAAAAGCTGGGTTGATGAACCTGCTAGTAACAAAGCTTTGATCCCAATGCTAAGGTAAAGAAAGGACGAGGGAGGCTAGGGGGAGGGAATAACTGTCCAATAGGGCTGCCAGGGCCTGAAGCAGGTCAGTCAGTGGTGACAGCTCAAGAGAGAGATCAGGCCCAGAGCTGAGATCAGGGATCTAGCTGGCAGAAAGGCTCGTGGCCCCTACTGGCATCTATCTCTGTCCCTACCCTCAGGCTGTGTTTCTCTGGAGCCCGAGAGGGGCACCTGCCCAGCCTGCTGGCCATGATCCATGTCAAACACTGCACCCCTATCCCTGCCCTCCTCGTCTGTGTAAGTTGGTGGGGGCTAAGCAGGACATGGATCCAGGGTCACTCAGTAATGTAAGCGCATTCTGGATAATGACAGGGATGAGTCCCCGGCTGTGATGGGCAGCATGCAGAGGGAGGGGGGCGGCTGGGACCCACCTGACCTCCCGGTGTGAGGCCAGCTGTCAGCCCCAGGTCCTCTCCCAGTGTGGGGCTACGGCGGTCATCATGCTTGTGGGAGACACATACACACTCATCAACTACGTGTCCTTCATCAACTACCTCTGCTACGGCGTCACCATCCTGGGCCTGCTGGTGCTGCGCTGGAGGCGGCCAGCGCTCCATAGACCCATCAAGGTGAGGTCCTGGGCAAACAGGTTGGCTAATGCACCCACCCCCTGCTTCATCTATGCCAAGCACCAGGGACGGGGGCAGATGACAACAGTGACAATGATGGCAGCTTTTGCAGAGTGCTGGGTTTTATATACACTGACATACTCACTTCTCCCCACAACTTCATGAGGACAGCCCCTGTCTAGAATTAAGGACAATTCCCATCTAAGTTAGGGAAAATGAGGCCAAGGCACTTGTTCAAGGTCACACAGGCTGCCAGTGACAGAGCCAGCATTTCAGATCGCACAGGAAATCAGAAGGCCATAAACCGAGCCCAGCCTAAGCAACTTAATGATTTAGCGAGACCCTGTCTCTGAGTAAAAAATAAAAAAGGGCCGGGATGTAGCTCAGTACAAAGGGCCTGAGTTCAATCCTCAGTACTAGAAACACAAAAAATCTTCTATGTGCATATAAACCCTTAAGTGGAGAAGTGCTCAGTGCCAGAGACGTGAAACACCAAAAAATACCTGACCTGCAGTCGAGCGCAAGCACGTCTGCATACAGCTGCCTTGTGCGGCTCAGAGCTGCTGAAACTGACAGACCCTGGACAGGTCTGCCAACCAGTCAGCCCATGAACTAACCTCCAGCATACCCAGCAGCTGCCAGAAGGGGGGCCTCGGCAGGCCCCAGCTCCCGGAAAAGGGAGGAACTCCTCAGACCCTTGAGGGTGGGACAGGGCAGGAGAGCTGGGGACCCTGCACCATCGCTCTCCCATCCACCCTCGCTCAGGTGAACCTCCTCATCCCCGTGGCGTACTTGGTGTTTTGGGCATTCCTGCTGGTCTTCAGCTTCATCTCGGAGCCCATGGTCTGTGGGGTCGGCATCATCATCATCCTGACAGGGGTGCCCATTTTCTTCCTGGGGGTGTTCTGGAGAAGCAAACCAAAGTGTGTGCACCGACTCACAGGTGAGCTGGGTGGCCTTGCTGAGGTGCCCAGGGCTTCAGGGGGAGCCCACTTAGGGGGTTGCCCCAGCAGCAGCAGCACCAGGGTGGGTAATGCAGAGCCCAGTCATTTCCACACATCTCCCCAAGATGTGGCCACAGCCCACCTGCAGAGGGAGCAACTCCCTGAAGCCCCCTGCCCAGGGGTGGTACCTGGAGGTGGGTTCTGTCCCCGGGGATCAGGCCCCAAGGTCTACCTGTCCGTCTGTCTGTCTGTCCTCAGAGTCCATGACACGCTGGGGCCAGAAGCTGTGTTTCGTGGTTTATCCTCAGGGCTCCCCCGAGGAGGAGGAAAATGGCCCCTGCCAGCCCTCCCCACTGCCCGCAATGGACAAGTCCTTGAAGTCACAGTGAGATGTTTGTAGACACCGAAGCAGCTGTTTCTGTTTACATGTTGTTTATTGAGGAGGTGTTTTGCAAAAACTTTTTTTTTCTGGAAGAAAGAGATAGGACTCTTAGAGGCCTGTCCTAAGGAAGCCCTGGTGATGTGGACACGGCTTCCTGTCTTAGCGCTGCCCTGCTAGCTTTTTCTGAAAAGGCCTATGAATAAACAGGGCTGGTTGTTTGCTTGTGCTCAGGGGAGTCCCTGGTGGACCCGGATCGGGGCAGGTGGCGGCATACTCCAGTGGGGGGCGCATGTGTTACTAGCTGAGAAAGTGCCATAGCCGAGGAGGCCCTCAGCATTGCGAGGCTTTGCCTCTTAAAGCAGAGCTGGCTCCACGGGGCCCTAAGCTACCCTGCCCCAAAGGGACAGTGGAGATGAGGAAGCAGCTCCTCGCCCAGATCTGTTCATGCCAACCTAGCCTCAGCTCCCTAGGAGAGTCCAGGGATTCCTGGCCAGGATTTTCATTCTTCCCTGAAATGACCACAGAGGAAATGTCACAACTTCAAAGTCTGCCGCCTCTCCCTGGTCTACAGTGGGGAAACTGAGACCCTAAGGCAGGGTAGGATGGGTCTGGCCTCGGATGGTTGCAGCCCTGGCCTCTATCTCCTGTGAAAGCACAGAACAGCATATCCTGGGGTCTTCTAACCCACACCCTCATTTCCAGCCACAGTGCCTGGAAGACTGACCCTGCAGCCAGAGGGCAAAGGGCACCAGTCTGGCCAGGCCCATGCTGCCACCACAGGCATGAGGATGGGCAGAAGCCTTTTAGCCCAGCTCCTCAGGGCCCTGCTGGGGAGGATGGAAGGAGGGTTCAGTGTGGACAGAGCACTCCCCACGGCCAAGGCCCAACGCTCCCCAGGCCCCCTTGCCTCCTCACTATAGCTCCTGGCACAGGCAGGGAGGGGTGAGGCAGCTGGTGCCACCATGGGGTGAATGAAGCAAGAAGCCACACAAAACACTCCACGCAGCCCTGTCCTCCCCACCCACTTTCCTGGAAATAGACTCCCACACTGGAGCTGGAGAGGGCTTAGGAGTAAAACCCCAAGATGTTTGTGTACAGGGGGACCCAAAGACGTGCTCATCACTCCAGTCAGCCCCCTGCATGCCCCGCCGGCCATGTGCACCCAGGGGTGCGGTATGCTGATACCGCTGCTGGCTGAGGGCCAGGCTCCTCCCCTGCGGCCGTGGGCTGGCCTCTCTCTGTAAGAAAGGACGCAGAGGCAGGGTAGAAACAACTGTGTATTCCCTGGTTACAAAGCGGGGCGGTGGCAGTCACCAGCGTGTCCTGTGGGTCAGCAGACCAGCAGGGCCTCATCGTCGCTGGCCTCCAACATTGGGGAACAGGGTGGCAGGGGGCTCCGGCAGACCCCCAGCGGCTCTGCTGAGTTGGGGCCTTGAGTGCTGCTGGCTGTGGGAGCCTGGGGCTGGGGTTCCTGGGCGGAGCAAGAGTCAGGAGCTGTGTCCACAGTGGCCAGGCTGTCCACCAGAGGGTCCCTGCAGGCTTTTCTGTCCCTGTCCACAACCCTGTACTCTGGGTCCTGCAGGCCTGAGGGCAAGGGCATTGAAGGTCCCACCTCTGGTGCACGGCCAGGGGCACTGGGAGGCCCATCCCCAGGTGCTCTGGGGCTGCCTGTGTCCGTGTGGGGGGCTGAGGGGTCTGGCGTGGCCCCTGGCCCAGGCTGGAGAAGCCCATCTCCCAGCACTGTCTGTGAGGTGCGCGCAGCAGTCAGCAGTGGTATCTGGCCTCGGGGTGCCCGTGGCCGGTGAAACAGCCGGTTCCAGAGACGGCCGAGCCTGCGGCGGGAGGGGCCCCGGCGGGAGGCATGTCGCCTCATCTGTCGTCGCATGGCTGTGCGAAGGTTCTGCAGCACGGAGGCCTGGAGGATGGAGCCACAGCTAAGGGGGTGGCCAAGCTACTCAGGGGCAGAGGTCAGCATACCCCCAAGGGACCTGAGGCCCCATGAGACCAATTGGTGCCTCTCCACCTGACTATGGCCCCCCGATCAGCCTGCCCAGACCTCACCTTTCCCTCACCTAGGCTGGTTTGACTCCCGAACCAGCCTAGCCCACATGCAATCCCACCTGGCCCCTCTGCCTCCTGCTCTTGGGTGCTGTCTGGGTGTCTTCCTGGGCTCACCTGGGATGCACTGTAGACAGGAAAGTCCTCCACAGGCGGAATGAGGCCCTGTGCGATAAGCTGGCCATAGGATGGGGGCGCCTCCCGCCGCACAAACTCGGCCTCTAGGCGTGTCATCTGGGTCTCAAAGGCCCTGGAGGCAGTGGGCAGAAGGAAAGTTGACGGGGTTGGCTGGGACTTGCCACACCACAGCAACAGGACTTGAGGAACCCCACTGTCTACCCAAACACCGAGAGTCACCTAGACCTGCCTGCACCAGAGCTGTCCCCAGGTGGATGGCCCAAGCCTCCACCTGCAAACCCACAGCTGAGCACACAGAGCCTGTGGCCTTTCTCAAGGAAACGCTGGGCCTGAGGCCTCCCAGCCACGACGCAGTACCCACCTGTACTCCTGCGTGCGCAGGGAGTAGAGCTTGAAGGCACAGCCCAGGGCGATGACCAGCAGCAGGCCACACACCAGGCTGCCGATGAGTGCAGCGGTGATGACCTTGCGGGGCACGGCGGCCAGGCAGCCGTGCTCATCGCTGCCGTCCTGGCAGTCCTCCTGGCCGTCACAGCGCCACGTCTCAAAGATGCACAGGTTGGTGCCACAGTGGAAGGTGCCAGGCTGGCAGGAGAAGCAGTTCTTCTCATCAGCACCATCAGGGCAGCTTTTCTGGTTGTTGCAGCGGTCAGCGGGTGCGTAGCACAGGCCACTGCCGCCCTCACAGGGGTACTGGTCAGGCGGGCAGGCAGGGCAGCCCTGCTCATCCCGGCCGCTGGCGCAGTGCCACCAACCATCGCAGCGCTGTGGCTCTGAGAAGCAGCCCTGGTCCCCCGAGCCACCACTGTCCCCTTCACTGCTGCTCCCACATGGCTGCTCCCAGGGGAGGCAGTAGCCCTTCACCTGGTAGGTGGCGTTGAAGCCGTGGCCGGCGCTGCGGGCACGGGCATGGTAGGCCACGGTGAGGCGGCCCTGCGCGGCCTCGAGGCTAACTGGCCGGTGATTGCTGCGGTAGGACAGCGTCTGCAGCAGGCGGTCCCCACGCTCACCCAAGCCCTCATACACCTGCACGTAGTCGTCGTAACCCAGCCGTAGCTCCAGCTGCAGCAGCACGCGCCGAGGATCCTGCGTGTCCACCAGCCACGTGCAGTGAAGGTCCGAGGGCCCTCGGGCGGCACCAAACAGGTCCGGGGAAGCAAAGGAGCCATAGAAGCTGCCCAGCCGCCGGCCACACGCCAGGTCAGGGCAGCCAGCCTCATCAGAGCCATCACCACAGTCCTGGGTGCCATCACAGCGCCGCTCCACCGGCAGACAGCGCGTGGAGCGTGCCCCGCTGCAGGGGAAGGTACCCCCGGGGCACAGGCTGCCCGGTGGCTCAGAGGCGGGCGCTGAACAGTTGCCTTCATCAGAGCCATCTCCACACTCATCCACAGTGTTGCACTGCCATGGGCCCGGCAGACACTTGCCGTTGTCACAGCGGAACTCATCTGCCTGGCAGGACACTTGGCCCAGCTTCCCTGTGGGCAAATGGGTAGCAGGAGGCAGTCAGAGGAGAGAAGACCCCCCTCCAGCACCAAGACCTGGGGCCAGGAGTGGGCAGGTCAGCATCTCAGCTGGGCCTCTGCAGGGCCCAGGAAGAGGAAGGGCCAGCTGACAACAGGCAGAGACTCCTAAGATGCCAGGGTGGGCTCAGTCCCTGACCTGACCATAGGTTTGTGAGTTCCCCTTCTAGCCAACCTGTGAAGGGGATCAGTGATGTGAGGAGGCAGCAGCTTGAAAGCCCCACCCTCATCTTAAGATTGACAGGGTTGGTCAGGGGAAGCAAGGGGCCATGAACAGTGCTGCCCTGGATGGAAGCCCATGTACTGAGAGCTCCATGATGTCCCTGCCCTGCCCTGCAACCAGTATCACCTCGGATGTAGGAGAGGCGGAAGCCCTGGGCCTGGCCAGAGCTGGAGGCATCTGAGTGGAAGAAGATCCAGACGTGGTCACGGGCAGAGATGAAGGCGGGAGGGATGGCAGAGCCGCAGAGCCGGAAGGCTTCCTGGCGAGGCGGGGCTGCAGGGCCAAGCAGGAGCCAATCCAGGGAGCACTGGTGGGACTCCTCCACATCAAAGTTACGGAAACTGCAGGGGCAGAGAGGACCATGGAAAGGGGTGAGCAGGCCGCCCAGGACAAGCAGAGGTTGGCCAGGCCAGAGCTCGTGGCAAGGACGGTCAGCCCTGCCTTCACCTACCACCCCTGTTACATGTCTCCCATGATGCCTGATTCCTCCACTCCCAGAGAGTCCAAGGGCAGCACCATGAAGAGTCAGGACATCCATGGACAGTAACCATCACACTTAGCTCTGCCGCAGTTCTCTCTTCCCCTCCATCGGCACACACAGCGCCCTCAACCCAAAGCCAGAGGGGGGAATGTCAGGAGCCCCCAACACATTTCCCCAAGTGCCCAGATCCCTCCCACACTAGGTCAGCTGGGACAGACCCAGCACAAGCTCCCAAGTATGGGCACTGAAGGTGAGGCTATGCCCTCAGAACTGCAGCTGAGTGACAGTCACCTACAAACACTAGCCCTGGTCCCCCATCCCAGAACCATGGCCCTGTGGCCACAGAGAAACCAAGGCACAGAAACCAGGACAGCTCCTGCTCGTGCCTATCACACCCACGTTCTTTGGTTTTTCATTTGTTTTGCAGTGCTGGGGATAGAACCCTGGGCCTCACTCATGCTAGGCAAGCACTCTAGCACTGGGCTGTGCCCCCAAACCACATCCATGGCCTTTGGAGCTATGGAGTGACTGGGCCTAGCAGGCTTCTGGACTTGGGCATCTAGGAGAACTACAGCAGATGGAACCCTAGCCAGCTGTCCCCATGACCATCGCCGGCAGGGCCTCCAGCCTCCCACTGCCCACCCTGGCTGCCTCGTGTCATTTCCCTCTGCACGGCACTACAGCCAGAGGCTCCAGCCTGAGCCCTGTCCCTGTGGAGACCCCCTGAGTCCCCTTGGGAGAACTCTGATATAGGCTCTGTGTGAGCTTGGCCATAAGCCTCCCTTGCAGGACAGAGGACATCTGACATGGCCAGACTATGCCTGCTAGTTCCCAGGACTCCCTTCCTTAGACCCCAGGAAGGAGGCTCAGAACAGGAAGAGCTCCACCTCAGGACTCCCAGCCATGGAGACCCGGGCAGCTGGGGAGGCTCATGCACCCACGTTTATAGCTCCTACACAGTCACATGTATCCTCAGACATCTGCTCTCGCCCAGGCCCTCTGCACCTCCACAGACGTGTGCTCACCCATGTGCCCTTTATGGCTATTCAAGCATAGGCTTGTGCAAGCATACATGTTCTCACGCACACATGCACATACAAACCTGTGCATACCTATACGAGCACCCTCCACAACCACTAGACACGCATATATGCTCACTCACCCAGCACATGTGGTCTCACATGGATTCCCCTGACACCCGCAGGCCCCTTTACCTGATGGTGATCATGTCCCCGCGGTCCCCCTGGATGTACCAGCTGCAGTTGGTGCCTGGTGGGTAGTTGAGGGGCCAGGCCGGGCTGTAGATGACACCACGCCGTTCTGTGTGCTGCTCCAGCTTCCCGCTGCAGGCAGCTGTTAAGAGAGGAGGCTGAGAAACGCGTGCCCCCGCTTTAGGTGGGAAGCAGGTTGGGGGAGGGGGGCACTGCCTGACCCCATGGTTTGACCACAGGCTTCCTCCATGGCGAGATCAAGTGTAGCCAAGGGTGGCCATGATCGGAGCAAGAGATTGCATGGAAATAGTGTATACAGGGATGTCAGGGAAGAGTCCCTTGAACTCAGGGCAGTGTGGTCCCCATTCTATGCATGTGCCCCCTCATCTCTAGCAGACCTAAGAGTGAGCCACCAGCAATTCCCATGGTGACCAGCACCACCAAGCTGCAACACCACGGCCTCAGGGCCTTCTGTACCCTAGGCCTACTAGGCCTGCTAGGCCATCTCATTACGGTTCCTGCCTGCTCTGCCTGCAACCCACCAAATGCAGATCTCAGCCCCAGGAGGACAGGGGATTTGTGACCCAAAATCTATTTACTGAGCACCTACTATGCACCAAGCAAAAGTAATAGGCATGCTGAGTAAGCCTGGGAAAAGCCCTGCCTATGGAACCCATGGGTGCAGATAGACTTCATATGAAACCCCTGCTCAAGTGAAGATTATGCAACAGGCCTTGAGGGAGGTGGCAAGGTCCAAAAGTGGCTGGAAGTGCAGGCTGGGGCTGAGACACCTCATGTGGAACTGGGGTTTTATCCTGATGTAGGTGGGAAAGCACTGGAGATGGCTGCTGGAACCAGATGAAGAAACTGAGGCTCAGAGAAGGTAAATGACTTGCCCAGGACCACACAACCAACGGGTGGCAGAATCACCCCGGTCCTCTGGCAGGCTCAGTCTCTCACTGCTGGCCCTACACCCACAAGCACTTGTGGAGTGTCAGCTGTGTGATGTGGCGGGGGCGAGAACACAGCATTCTGTCAGCCAGAGCAGGCAAGGAGCCCCACCAAGCCACTGGTTTCCACCCAGCCCATTATCCACACCCTGTGCTTCCCAGCTCAGCCCACCCAGCTTGAAGGGGCCACCCCGGTGTCCCCAGGGCCACGCAGTGGCCCCTGTGCGTTTCTGCACTGCTCCCACAGCTCCTTCGAGCCTGCACCGGCTGCTTTATCTGATCTGGCCCATTTTGAACACACAGCCTATTTTACAGATGGAGAAACTGAGGCCCAGGGAGCCAGATGATGACCCTTTTCCCCAGGCCCAGTGACATCACCTTCTCCCCTTCCACAGTGGGCACTTTGCGCTGTGGACCCAGAAGCTGCATTTCTCTGGCTCTCAGCAAAACTCTCAGGGACCCCAAATAGCAGTGGCAGAAGACAGGAAAGCCCTCTAGCAGCCACTGTGCTTTTAAAACAAGCACACAAAGTGCCCACCCACTGCGCCCACCTCATCCCTCCTCTAACTCCCTCGCCTCCCAAGTCCCCATGGTCCCTTACATGGGAGGGAGACTTTGCTCCTGCAGAGCCCAGGTGGGTGCGCCCTTTGCCCTCCTGTGCCACTCTGACTCCTGCTTCGCTTCAGCCCTCAGGCTCAGTGTGCCCTCTTGGGAAAGCCTCTGCAAGCCACCCCCAGTGGGGTTTCCATGCCATCCTCCTCCTGTCCTTCCCAGCCTCTGTGTGCCCAGATTGTTAGACGGCAGGCTCCTACAGGACGGCAGTGCAGCAGTGCTCTAGTCCAACACCCTGTCCGCAGCAGCGTGCACAGTGCCTGACCCATGGCTGGTGCCCAGTGAGTATGGCTCACAGGTGCCCCTCTTCTGGGGGCTGGCCATGACCTTGGGGTCTGGGTTATCCAACACTGCTAACTGCTAGTTGGCCACCCCCACTGACCACTCCCAAGAACATCAAAAAGCTAGATGCCACCCTTGGCCCTAAAGCAAGGTTGGCCACCATCAGGTCACTGTCACAGCCTCAGCAGTCCCAGCTCAGGGAGGTGCAAGCCAGTACTTCTGTACCTGAGCCTCACAGGTGACCCTGGGAAGTAGCCTCCAAAATGAAAGCAATGAGCCCCACTTCCAGCCCTAGGACAGAGCGGGCTCCAACCCACACATGTCACATGCCCCTGGCTCCAGCCTGGCTCCCGCTGGTGGGTGAGGCCACCTCTGTGGCCACCTCAGAGACCCAAGTGCTGACTGGGAATCCTCAGGGAGGTTTCTCCTTCCTGAGAGTGCAGGACAAGAGAGTCCCTGGAAGGAAGGGCCACCGAGGCCAGGAGTATACCGAAGCTGGGGACACACTAAGTCTTAAAGCTTATGTTAAACCAAGAACCGGGCCTCAGTCAGGGCCCAGAGTTGGTGAGGGTAGCGACCAGTTTTGGGTCATCTGTGCCCTCAGCCGCAAGGAAAGGACTACTCTTGCCTCAGGCCTTCCCTAGAGGATGGACACAGCCCTGCCCATCTTATCTGGGCAGTGGCAAAGATCAGGTGCATGACCCATAATGGCCGCAGGCCCTCCCTCAGGTATCACTGGCCACCTTGCTCTTCCAGCCCACCTGCCCAACCAGAAGACTTCTCTCCCCTGCCCCTGTGTCCAGCCACCTGTTCAGGGAGTGAGAGGCCTGTCACTCCAGATGCTTGCACCACTGCCAGCTCAGCTCTGCCCCTCCACAAAGCACTGAGGCCAGCCAACACTGCCCCAGCAATTCCCACATCAGGTGCCTCAAGGGCACTGGCCCTTAGTTAAGTGTCTGCTCTTCTCCAAAGGGGGCCAGGAGACCAGGCTCTGCAGAGACCAGGCTCTGTAGCTGCTGGCCCAGCCTCACCCAGAGGGAAAGCGGAGCAGGAGGCCGGCCGAGGGCTGTTCCAGGAGCTGGGAGCTGTGTCCTGGGCTGACTGGATGCCGCTTGACCATGGGCCTGGAGGATGGCCCCAGTTCAGCCAGTCAGCGCCCCCGCTCTCTGTGACAGGAGCCTCACCCCCAGCCTAGTGCTCTACTCCAGAGCCCAGGCCCAGACAGGGATAAGGCTCATGAATCCAATCCTAGGCCCACAATGCCAGGCACCCCATTCTGCCCTGGGCCTCAGCTTGTCCAGCCATAAAATGAAGCCAGCGTGCAAGTTGCCTGTGTCAGAGGGATGGCTGAGAGATCTGAGGAAATCCGTGATCTCAAGGTGGTGGGGGAGTGGGGAGGCAGAGGACTCTCCAGGAACCCGTAGGAAAGGAGGGGGTGATAGGACAGGAAAGGAGGGGTGAGCACAGGAGAGATGGGACAACTGTGCGTTTCAGGGATACTGATACAGAGAGGGGCCTGGAGGAGGACTGTGTTTAGGGGGTCTCTGATGCAGGAGAGGGATTTGTGGGGAAACTGTGTTTGGGTAGGAGTCATGCAGAAGAGGGATTTGGGGGATGTAGGGGCAATCAGCGAGGTCTCTGAGCATCAGCTGGGGGGGACCTGCTTTCACATTGGCAGAAGTCTGCCTTGGTCTTCGGTGGCCTACTCAAGTGGGAAAGAGATGACCGGGCATTTTTACGGGCAGTGTCCTCCCTTCCTGGTCCAAACAGTTGTCACATACTCCTGAGAAGACAAGAACAAGGCCTGAGGAAGCATAATTTGCAGATCTAGTTTCCAGAGGCAGTCCATAATCTGGACAACCGGCCTGGTGTAACCTGAGGACAGGGAATCAGGAGTCCCACCCAGTGCCCTTGGGGACGTTGTCGGCTGAGCGGAGAGGACAGCACAAGCCCTGGCCAGCTCACACCTTGGGGTCTCCCTGAAGGCCGAGGGAGGTGGTGCCTGACACTGGGAAAGAGCTGGCGAAAATCTGTGAGGTCTCCAGGTGGTCCAGGGAGAAGAAGCTGGGGGAACAGCTCCTGATTCAGGCTCTTTCACAGGAGGAATTGCAGAGAAAGCCCTGGAAAGGCAGAGTCGTGGAGCCATGGTGGGGAGGAGGTACTCCATGCCGCCAGAAGCTGATCAGCAATTCTTGAGGGATCAAAGCTGGATTCCAGGAGACCCAGGGCCCCACAATACCACCCATCACCGTCCAGGTTGTGCATGTTGCTCATGACACCAAGGGTGCTGTGCATGGGCACAAATGCGACAATGACAGCCCCTGAAGTTGGGCATCATGGACCCTGCCAGGCCCTGAGATCTCGGCAGCTAAGAACAGCCACCCATGAAGACCTGAATGGGTGTCCTTCTCTCTCCCAGGCTACATGAGTGACCTTGTCCCTGAAGTATCACTTTCCTATACTTGGGGAACATGCATGTGACATATATGCTCAGGGCAACGTGTCCACCCACCACCTTTCTAAGTTGTGACCCCATTTTTCCCCCTTCTCCCACAGATACCAGCCCCAGGCTGGGCCAATCAATTCCTGGACACTGAGATGGGAAACTGGGCTGTCCTCTGGGGCTAGGACATCAAACAGGGCCCTGGGCCAACCCAGCTCAGCAGAGGAGGCCGGGCTGCACAGAGCACATTGCTCGGGTGCAGAGACTATCAAGAGGGGGACAGAGGCTGAGTCTTTAAGGTTAGTTAGCAAGGAGTCCAGGCTCTGCGGACCCTGGGCTCCATCCTCTTTCACACACATACCCAGTTGCTAGGACCACAGCCTAGCAACAACACCTATGACAAAACCTCTGGTCCTATACTTGAGTCAGCCTCTGGGTTTCTGCAGCCAGTCAGCCTCTGAGCAGAATCCCCCGGCAGCTCCTGCCCCACCATGCAGTACAGTACACAAAAAACAGTCCATGGTCCCCAAACTGGGGACCACACATACTCCCTGACGACACCTTGACCCAGCACTGTTATGCAAACACTCGTGCTTACTTTTTAGAGTTTGCTGAGGACGGCTATATATGGACCGCATTAGCAAGAGATGGTGGAGTTTGTCAGGGTGTATCAATCATAGAACAGGTGTCCTGGTGTTACTAGGTGTCCCATAGCGTCCCTTCTCAGAAATCTCTTGGTGGCAATGAGGGCCATGCAGCCTGGACCTATGCATTCTTCAACCCCCAGCAGCTCCTCAGCAGTGGGAGATCAATCTTCTGGGCCATCTCCCCTATTCCTGACAGCTTCAGCTGTGCTGAGCATCATGTCAAAGCCCAAAGATGGCCATCAGATGGCCAGCCCACTGTGACAAGCAGCCCACTTTGACAAGGAGGCTGGCACCGAGTCCTCGCTGTGCTTTATAACGTCCCAAGTGCCCTACCAGCTAAAGTCTACCTCTGTCCTGCAAATTAGCTCTCTAGAACTCACCTTTTATGTGCAAAGCGGCCAATCCAAGGCTGTGCCCTCCTGACCTTCTGTATAATGCTCATACACCAAGCCAATGATCTGCTCCCCTCTCCCCACCTGAACTTCCCAGGCCTGGGTACAGACAGCTAGAGCCCATCTTATAGCCCTCAGACCCATTCAAACTAATCAGTCCTAAGTACTCATTCTGCCCTGCCTTGATTTTCCTGTGGACACCCCAATAAAGGCTCTGGCCTCCACCTTTCCCTCACTCCTGCTCCTGCCTGGCTAAACCTAATAGCTCCTCCATGGCCTGCATGGCATGATGTGTCCCATTCTATTAAGAAAAGTCATAAACTCTTCTCTCAATGGTATTACCCTCTCCATGCCGTCACTCAATCCTACCTCTGTAAATTAAATCCCAGGTGTTATTTTAACACAGGCGGGCATCGCAGGGTTCTCAGGAACCCCACAGCGTACAGGAGGCACAATCTGGCAATTGTGCAGGGCCCCGGTAGATCACCAGGGGCATTAAACCATCATGTCCCAGGTAGCAAGCTGAGCATCTTACTTCATTGATTCACTGGATCCTAATGAGGTGGAGCCTGGTATTTTAGCCACGTTGCAGAAGAGAAAAGAGGCTGAGGAAGCTTAAGCTTATCCAAAGCCAAATAACTCTTTTATGATGCAGACACTAGTTTTCCCAACAAGAAGCCAGTTGAGTAGAGGGCAGAGCCAGATCCTGAAGGCCATCCTCAGAGGTCACTAACCCAGAAGGGCCAAGAGGAGAGGAGGAAGGGGCTTACTTACCAAAGGCAGGAACTGCGCTGCTGAGCCTCCCGGTGAGAAAGAGATTCACTGTGGGAGACAGAGGCAGTCAGTAGGGGACGGTGGCTCCCCGGGTTCCAGGAGATTGCCTTGTGGGGCAGGGGACAGGACAACGCAGTTGAACTCAAGGCCCTTCATGGGTGAGGCTCAGAGAGCTACCAGACTTTCCCTCCCATCACTGGTCCTGCTGCCTGCAGTGGACAGAGATGAGGACTCCAGAGGGTCTCAAGTCCCATCTCAGCACACCCATAGCCAAAGCCTGTCCATGGCCACATCACGCCACCTCACATCACCCCTGCCCTGGAGTTCAGGGGTTTCCTGTCCATCTTGGAGCCACCCATCCTGGAAGGGCTCTGGCTCAGCCCCAGGTGAGGTCCTGCCTGTCCAGAGGGCTCCTATCGCTCTCAAGGGTTTGCTCCTTCCAAGAGACTTTGCCACTCGCCTAGTGCCCCCAACAGCCAGCGAGGGAGAGGGAAAAGTTCCGATTATCCTCTCTACCTTTTTTCTCTGGTACTGGAAACTGAACCCACGACCTTTGCACTAAGTTACCTCCTCAGCCTTTTTTTTTTTTTTTTTTTCTATTTTGAGACAGGGTCTTATAAATCACTAAATTGCCCAGGCTGGGCTAGAAATTGCAGTCATCCTTGCTCAGCTTTCCAGAGCGCTGGGATTATAGATATGTGTCACCACACCCTGTTGTGGGGTCTTTTGCTTCCATCTACAGCTCTGTTTAGGGATCCAGGCCCAGAAAGAGAATACAGAGTAGAGGACAAACAACTTTCTGTGGTCCAGTGGACCCTTCTTTCCCTATCAAGGATGCCAAAGGAGCCTCTTTGGAGGCATCAGTCCCCTCCTGGAGAACGAGGGGCAACTGGCGTCAGTCAGCACACCCAGAACCACAGCACCCACATCTCCTGGGCACAGAGGGCTGGTCTGTCTGCCCTGCTCACCAAGAACACAGTAGCTCAGAACCGGGAGCCCACAACCCCACCAGGCTGGAGGGTGGCACTCGGGGTAGTCTCTTATTTGGATCTGCTCACACAGCTGGGACAGGGACCTTCCCCCAGCCTCAGAGCCCGCTGCTTCTTAGGGGGCTGTGGAGAATAGAGCTTAAAAACGATGGGGTTCTTTTCACTCAGTCATTGCACTGGCTTCAGCAAACCTATGAGGTCTCAGAGCCCTCAACGGTGACATCACAGGCTGTCCCCTAATGACCCCCAGCTCTTCTAAGAGCCTCCCTCCTTCAACAAGGTAAATAAAGAAGCCATGTGGGTTGAGGGTTTAACTCGTTCCTTCCCTTCATCCCCACACGGGCAATGGAAAAGTGGACAGAGAAACTCCTGGGCAAGGAAGGAGCCCTCCTGCCCAGGTGCCAGGCGTGGACAGGTCCCGGGCCCTCCCCAAACACCCCACCCGGCGCTGAGCAGGCCCACCCGCTGAATCTCAGAAGACACAAAAGGGAAAATGAGTCATTTTCGCGCTGCCTCCTCCCCATCTTTCTTCTGCGAGCACCCACCCCCGCTCCAAATCCAGGCAGGAAACGGTTCCTTCTTTAAAGGGCAGCAGGCCGGGCCTTTGTCTCGAGCTCCCGAGGCCCGGATCCCCAGGCTGAGCGCAGGTGGGCGGGCGGGACCGGACGCCGCCCGTGCCAACCTCGCCGCTGGCGGGCCCCTGCCTCCTACGCGCTTCGCCGCCCGCGCGCCGCTCTTCCCGGGCGCCAGCCGCTGCAGTCGCTCTCCCAGGCCTAAGGCCCCGGCAGGCCGGGGTGCCGCGGCCCTGCGTTCCCCGCAGCCTCCCTGCGGGGGCCATCGCCGTGCGGGCTTTGGGAAGGCCCGGCCGCAGGACGGCGAGGGCAGACCGCGGC